AAGCACTTAACAAAACTAGAGTAAGCCGATTAAATCTAGTATAACCGGAAGTATTGATGAATAGAGATGTGTGATTTAGGGAGAAGTTTCTTCTAGGTTAGTCCATTTTGTTGATCCACTATTCGGAACGCCTTCCAACAGCTCGTTGAGATCGATGAAACCGTCCTTGTTGAAGTCGATGCTTTCGGCGAATTTCGGCGACGTAGTCGGCTGACAGAGTCCGCTTCGTGTACTTTCCCAACACCTTAAAATTAATAATGGTTCTTTTGTTACGAATTGGAAAGCGAAACTTTCAGAAGAGCAATCGAGCTGCTCAGAGTGGGCCGAGGCGTTCTTATAATTTTCTAGGGCGGACGTGGTATGGCGACGAAGGGCCCGCCTACCCGAAGTCATGTCTCGGATTAGCTCCTTTTCAGACTGGCAGAGTCCATCAGCATCTACCAGCGTCCACTAGCGTTCCGAGTGTTCGGCAGCGTCAGCGAGTAGGAAAGCACAGATATCGATCTAGCATATAGCCAGCGTCTGCTAGCGTCCAACAGCATCTCGGGGGCCAGGGGTGTATAGGTATTGACCCAGCGTCTGCCAGCGTTCACCAGCGTTCACTACCGACGGGAGTATGGGGAGGTAGGAGGGCAGTTGTATTAGGAGTCGTGAAGTTGCGGCGTGTGCAGCTGCACCGTACAATTGCATAATTCCGTGCCTTAGCAGTTCTGTTCGGTTGTACACGACATAATTTCACTACACCCAATCCAGCTCTTTGTTGCCCCCTACCTCCCATGCTCTCTACTCCCGGTCGCTGGTGGAGGCTAGCAGACGCCGGCAGACGTTGTATCGATATCTATACTTTCCTAGCCGCTGTCGCTGCTCGGAACGCTAGTGGATGCTAGTGGACTCTGGTGGACGCTGCCGCAATGTATAAAAGCAGCCTTATGGTTCTCTAGGGGCTGGCGTGGTTACGTGATGAGGGGCACCCTCACCATGTCTGCAGTCATGTCTCAAATTAGCTCCTTTTCAGACTAACGAACTCTCTTATCCTTGCGTGGTTGGTTAGCTGGTACACTCGATATCCCTGAGATGGGGTAGGCGTGGCTGCGTTGTCCAACTGCACGTAGCAGATGGCGCAAAAAAGTGGATTATGGCCCCCAAGTGATCACATGCAGGAATGTGCGAGGCACTCCCGCTGTGGGCGGAGCGTGCCCCAAGGTGGGTGGAGCCAAACTTAAAAAATTCGCAAAACGCTTCCAGAGCACTCTAGACACCGGGAAAAAGTAGTTTAAGGTCATCGAGGGGTCATAAGTTGAGAAGCGCGAGACATTCGTTAAGGGCGGAGCATTAGTGTGCGGCGTATCCAACGGTGTGGAGCGAAATTAAATAACAAATTCGCAAAACCGCTCCAGAGCACTCCAGACACCAGAAAATAGTAGTTTGCAGTCATCGAGGTCATTGTTGAAGGAGGCATTCTGGGTTCTTTTGGCGGGGCGGCCCAGAGGTGGTAGATCCAAATTTAAAAAATTGCAAACGGTCCAGACACTGGGAAGAAGTAGTTCGATCAGCGAGGGTCACCGGTTCACAAGTGTCAGGCATACCTGTCGTGTGTGGAGCGTGCGTCAAGGTGAGCGGGACCAGCCTTAAAAACTCCTCAAGCGGTTCCAGAGCACTCCAGGCACTCCAGACCTCTATGTGATACGGCCCGGCTTTGCGGGCGTGCATTCGTATGATCAAATGCTCGACTAATACCCGGCTTTTCTCTCATCTGCCCACTTCATCAACGCTCCGTGCCACCACTCCATTCACTGTAATAGTGTTGAAAGTAGCAGGTATGATGCTATTGGTCAAGGAATGTTGACCACCTGTTCAGGTTAAAGAAAAGCCTGATATTAGGTGGCTAATGAAATGAGTGGAATAAGGCAAGCGCGGCGGAGCCGCGCCTGCTCGACGAAGCCGTGCTGTATCTCAGAAGGAGGCGCGCCGGTGTCAGCCGGCGAAGCCGGCTGGTATTATATAGTTTCTTCGCTTGCCAGAAAAAAAAGGGAAAACGTTGACGTTGCACCAAACCCGTCTTGTTGACACGCCCCGTCATCCGCAGCGGACAAGATTGTAGGATGAATTAGCTGAAAATGGCATTCACCTGGATTGCGTCAATGAATTCCTGCATGGAAACTTGACCGGAGTTATCCTTATCCATGAATCGGAACAGCGTCTCCAAAGTGCTCTTGTGTCTGTACAGAGACTCGACCACATCACGATCCTAAAAATACCACATGGCATGGACGAAAATTGATGGAAAACTTTGCCATTTTCAGAGCTGACTGCCGGAAGTGAAATTAAACTCGAAGAAAACACATATTTAAATGGAGACTGGTCAGCTCTGGAGATTCCAAAGATTTCTATTCAAGCTTAGCGGTGGCTATGCCGTCTACTAGCAGATTCATGGAAACAAAAAGAGAAAAACTCAAGATCAAACAAGAACAAACTCAAGATATCGAGCTAATTCAAATAATCACCTGGGCTTGGCCTTTCCCGACGAGTACGACGGGCACATTCTCCTTGTACAGCACATGTTTTCCATCTTGATGAAGTGTCGCCAACTTCGGCGCTAAAGCTCGCCAAGGAAGATGCAAACCGGTCACCTTCTGGACAGACTCACACCATTGATGAACTGAGATTACGCCTAAATGGACTTTTATCATTGCGTGATAAAGGTTTGAGCATGTAGATTGTTTGGGAGATCATTAGCGATGCAAGGCTGAGGTACCACCCACTGACGGGAGATCCCTAGGGTTTTCAAGATTTTTATGGTGCAGTTTTCGGATAGTTTTCAATATAAACAATGAACCCAGAGGGTAATGCACGAAAACCTACATATAGGTGTAGTGTTTCTATCGATGCCTTGGTGAGAGCACTCACGAGCTTCACTCGTCGAAAATGTTGGTCGGGAGATCCACACTGCAGCGCGACGCACGCAAACTAGCAGCTACCTCCCAACTGTTACGGCTATATGATTGATAGCGCATGTTATCACTTGAAATTCTTAAAGGCACAGTTCGCGACCGCAAATTGCGGGAAACGGAACTCAAATAGGCACAAAAAAGTGCTAAGTATCTGATTAGCGGAGAAAAGCAGCAGTAAAAGCAGTCCGAAATGTTATAGATAAAGATAACATAGTGGCTACTAGCTAGTAGCTAGCAGCCGGTGAGGGTCGGCATGGGCCTAAGGGGTGTCCATGGGCCTAATTAGCCAGCTTCTAGCGGAGTTCTTGCCGTTTTTCACATTTTGAAAGTAGCGCAGCCTCAAAAATCGCCTTCCGGATCGTCCGACACATTTGAGAGGTCATAGCCTTATTTTTTCGCGGAATGTGGCCTTTGTAAAGTCCTGGTTGCGAGTCGCTCACATGAGGTCGTTTGCAATGCCGCGTCGTTGCAGTTAATCACCTGTATCACCTGTGCTCCCGTTGATCATCGAGTTCCTCGAGCGGGCGCCAGTAACGTCTCCATTCGTCCCTGCAACGTGCAAGAGTTGCCCAATGAACTCTCTCAGCTCGACACTGAGACCTCATCGAGGGACACGATGAACTTCATACCGTTCGTTCAGAGCTTTCACGAAGAAGTCTGACCATCGCATAGGCGGTCGTCCAGGCGTTCGCTTGACATCCCGTGGAATCCAGTCGGTGACTGCTCTGGTCCAGCGGTCGTCCTCGAAACGCATGACGTGTCCGGCCCACCTGATCTTCGAAACCTTGGCAAATGCGGCGGCGTCTCTGATCTTTGATCGTTGGCGGAGTGCGGAGCTCCGGATTCCCTCTCTCACTTGCGTGTAGCGGGAAACTCCGAGCATCGCCCTTTCGATGGCGCGTTGAATAACGCCGACCGCATGCTCATCCTGCTTTCGTAGAGTCCAAGTCTCTGAGGCGTACGTCAAGGCAGGAAGGACCGCGGAATCGAAGAGGTGGGCACGGAGCTTGGTGTTCTTCGTCTTCGCTACTCCCTCGATGTTCTTGAAGGCTCCCCAAGCCGCTCGCTTCCTCCTGCTCAGCTCTGGAGCTAGGTCATTCATCATATTGATTTCACGACCTAGGTACACATAGCTAGAGCATTCAGAGATGGTCGTTCCGTTGAGCGTGAATGGGGCATCAGATACCAATCCGTTTCTCATGAACATCGTCTTCGTTAGGTTCAGCCGTAGACCGATTCTTCCACACGCGCAGTCGAATTCAGCCAGCATTCGTTCCGCTTGCTCGATGTTTGGCGTTATCAAAACGATGTCGTCAGCAAAGCGGAGATGGTGTAGTTGCCGACCGTCGATCTTCACTCCCATGTCTTCCCATTCCAGTTGAAAGCATGAACAAGTTCTCGAGAGAGGCGCTGAAGAGCTTGGGCGAGATGGTGTCGCCCTGTCGGACCCCTCTCTTCACATCAATGATGATCTCCTTGTAGAATGGTGAAATCTTGGTCGTGAAGTTGCTGTAGAGCTCACGAAGAATCCTGATGTACTGAGTAGGAATACCCTGGTTGCCCAGGGCTTCGATAACCGCTTCTGTCTCAACGGAGTCGAAGGCTTTCAAGTCGATGAACGTGAGACATAGCGGCATCTTGTACTCTCGCGATACTTCGATGAGCTTCGTTACCGTGTGGATGTGATCGATCGTGCTGAATCCTCTTCGAAACCCTGCTTGCTCGCATGGCTGTCCTTCGTCTAGTGTTCTGCCAATCCTTTCAGGATGACTCGTGTGAAGAGTTTGTAGACTACAGACAGCAGGCAGATTGGGCGATAATTGCCAATGTCGTACAGGTCTCCCTTCTTGTACAGCAACACAGTCTTGCTGGTTTTCCACGAGGTGGGTACCTTGCATTCCGACAGGTAGCGCGTGAAGAGTCGAGCCAGAGTTTTGACGAGAACTGGCGGAAGATTCTTCAGATGTTCGGGTCTGATCCTGTCGGGACCGGGTGCCGTACGATTCTTCACCGACGAGATGGCGTGTCGGACTTCGGAAGAGAGAACTGCAGAACGACATATCCATCCTGCTCCAAGCGGTATGGTTGCAGGTGGACGTGGCTGTCAAAGAGATCCGAGTAGAAGTCGTGGATGACCTTCTCCATTGCCCTTCTGGATGCGGTGATTGTTCCATCCGGACGTCGGAGGGCGGTCATCTTGGTCTTACAGTTGGCGAAGTCGCGGCGGGCGTTGCGTACGCTCTTCCCAGCCTCTGCGGCTTCCACCAATACTGCTGCTCTTCTCTCCTTGAAGGTCTTCCTTATCGCTTCTCTGCATAGCTTCGCAAGCTCAGACGTCAGCTGGTAATTGCCTGCGGCTCGTGCGGCTCCACGTTGGCGAATCAGCTCGAGAGTTTCCAGAGATAGACGCTTCTTGGTAATCTTGGAACCCTCTGACTTCTTGGCGCAGTCGTGAAGATGTGCAACAAGCCTTTCGTATTCCTCGTCGATGTTGTCAATGACAGAATCCTCCCAGAGCCCAGCGAGAAGAGAAGTGAAGTGATCCCAGTTGATGGTGGTCTTGGGGCTTCGCTTCTTGAACTTTGCGGGCTCTCTCTCCTCGCATCGAAAAGCGGAATCTTGCGCGAAGGAGACGATGGTCGGATCCCGTGTAGAACTTAGGGACAACAGCGACATCGGTCAGGCAAAACCTTCGATTGCAGATGATGTGGTCGATCTCGTTATGGAATTGTCCACCAGGAGACTCCCATGTCCAGCGTAGAGAGTAGGGCTTCTGGAACTGTTCTCTGTGAGTTACAGGATGGATGGTGTGGGTCGACATGATAAACTCAGACAGCCTTTCACCCTGCTCATTCCACTCCGTTCCGTGAGTTCCGATGTGAAGTTCTTCAGCCGTTCTTCTTGGTCCGATCTTAGCGTTGAAATCACCGACGATGACCTTGAAGAAGGTGTGATCTTCCTTGTAGAACTTCTCCAATTCCATATAGAACGCTTCGAGCTCATCCTCGTCGTAGCTTGATGTTGGTGCGTAGGCGACGAAGATTGTCAAAGCTGGAGTTGAACCACATCTTCTCAATCGCAAACGTCCGATTCGGGTCGTCAGACTTTCGTACGAATCGATGTTCATGGCCAAGTGCGTGTTGACGAGGACGCCCACACCGCCAACGCCTCTGCTGTCGCATGTTCCGAGGAACAGTTCTTCTCCAGTCTCGTACACGGCGTGTAGCGGGCGATGCCTCCTCGTCTCGGTCAGTCCGATGACGTCGTGAGCTTGATCCTTCCTGCGGTTGCAACACAGATCTTCAGATTGAACTTCCCGATGCAAGCGTCCGTTGCGTTTGAAAGTAACAGATCCGTCACCCTATGTGCTGGGCGACCAAATCTCCGTTGCCGCCTTGTGATTCTAACACGCCCGCACAAACAAAAGTCAAGGACAGACCGAACAACTCATCGGTGAAGTAACCCTCAGCTCAGGGGCCATAGTTGTACTAATTTCGGCGAGAAGAAAATTAACCACGCGTAGCTCGCCAGGCTCTGACGTGGCACCCTCCGCATTGGTACGTTTTTGGAACAGTCCAAAACCGTTCACCCCCACGCCACGATGAGGCTGCGGATAGGATTTGTGGGGTGCAACGTAAATCTGCAAGTCAACATCCACTGGTCGAACAGGGGAGAGCATTCGTGGCTGTTTCGGGACGGGGGGGGCGTCACGCGATAGACCTATGTGGCGCTGCGCGTGACATCGAGCTCTATATAGTAAGAGACGTGTTGTAATTCAGACGCTTGTCTTCACAAGTCTTGTTTTGTGGGAGTTTCAACAATTCTAAGCTGTACATTTAAAAATTCGTCTGCTTCAATAGCCACCATCGAAATGCAGTAGCTCAAAAAACTAGCCTAGAAACGCTGTTTTCAGATGTTCATTGAACGACGCTGCTCATTGAACGTGTGAGTGCTGTAAGGCCATGGCACAAAAAGCTGGGATGGTGAGAGTGGTCCCGGTAGCGCAATGGATAAAGCAACCGCCAGGTAAGCGGGAGATGCGGAATCTCAGCATTCCTGTTATAGCTGCTCTCAGACTTCGCAATGACGCATCGCGAAGTCTGAACGCAGCCTAAAGCGACTCTGACGGATCGGAGTTACTGAGCTTGCCCGTACCTATGGCTCATACTGAAGCGTGCGCAGGCGATGGTAACCTAACCTATCGAGAGAGCTGCGTGACTCCCGCAAGTTATCAAAGTTCTGATGTAGCCCTTTTCTTTGCCTGCACAATTGTGCTGTTGCTGGCTTGCTTTCTCACATACTTTGCACGGATTTCGAAATTAACGCTCTCTCCACCGGCCTCTTCAGTGGATTTTGGAATCTTTCATCTAGCCTCTTTTCCTTTTGGTTAGCTTTGTGCTGATCCTTAGTTTGAAACAATACCTTATTCGGTTTTGTGCGATTCCGAGGTTTTCGCAACAACCTGCGTGGGAATTCATCCCGTAAACTCTGATCCGCGATGCCTTGTCTCATAGCGCTACAGACCACCTGAACTAAGTTTAATAAATCGAAATTACCTTTTTGGAGTGGATCATACTGCTCGAACTCTTTCTGGAGCCTGTTGTTGAACGAGACGAGCTTCTCTCTGAGTTCACGCACAGCCGACTCTTCAACGAGGCTCAACCTGGAAGTGTGTAATTCCATCATACCGCGTTCATTTTTCAACGCTCATCATCAACTCACCTCTCACGCATCGTGCTTTTCCTGTGGGTTTTCGATGCCATGTACTGAACGAAATGCGGCTCCTTGTTCCGTCCGATGAATTTCACATAAGCGCCCCGATTGCTACCAAGCTCGTAGTAATTTGATGCAGAAAATATCGTAAGAACCCTAAAGGAGTGAAAACAATACAGTTCATTCCACAATAAGTCCGTCTAACACGTAAGGAGCGCAAAAGCTGAGAAATGCGAACTAGGTTGCTCATACTCTAATAATAACCACTGTCGGTTTCCTTTTACCATCTTCTGCATGTTCGAGGGTTGTTCCCACATTGGAAGTGGTGTGATTTATCGCGCTCAAAAATGAGAGACGTTGGCCAGGAGATCTGAACTGCCTCAGAAACGGTGTTGCCACTGGCGTCGCGTGTACAGCTTTCGCACCTGGGCCTGACTGACTGCACACGAAGGTGCTGGTTACGTGACTGCTTGCACATCATTCTATTGGCCTGCTGAATATAG